TTAATTTGAAGCATTATAAAGCATTTATTAGAAAATGCTGATATCTTACTGCCTCTGATAACTGGGGATTTCACCATCATTTTCCCTTTCCATGTCTAAAGACTTTGTACAGGATGTTTGTTTTTTTTGTTTTGCAGCTTGTGCTACAGTTCTCTGTAACCATTGTTGGACAAAGGAATATGTATTTTTATAAAATTTTTATAAAACATTGAAATAATGATCATGTAGCTTTGAGTTCTTCAAGTTAGCATATAAAGATTTCAGACCTCCATCTCTTTCTGTGTTGTACTACGATTAGTCCCAGCATGTCTTTTTATAGCTTTTTACATTCTGAGACTTATGGTTTATTTGTGTTAAACTATCACATGATATAAAGTTAATAAAATGTTCTTATAAATATAATTTTTTTACTGTAGAATATATCTATATATCTATCTATCTATCTATCTATCTATCTATCTATTAAAATATATTGTATGTTACTGATGTGTATATTTAGTTTTCACATTTTTTAGAGACGTGTGCTTTGTACCCAAAGAAATAACACGTCACATGTTTTCTTTTTAAATGAATGAACATGCAGCTAGTTAGATGGCATGATGAATGAATGCATGAGTGAATAAACAAACACACACAATATAACACTATTGGTTTTAAATTCAAGTAGGTTCTATATATTCTTATTATAAACTCAAACACAAGTTGCTCTAACATCTGACTTTCTGTGTTATAAAATACTGGGTGTTCTTGGTTGACGTTGTTACAGTTGTTTGTGAAGTGACTGATGATCTATCATTATTTATGTGTGAATAGGATACTAACTTATGTCATAGTACTCAGCTGAAGAAATCCAACACCTACTACTCTAGGAGTCTGAAACATGCTTTACCACCAATGTCTTACCAAGCTCTGTTCAACTAATTACAATACAGGTTCCATAAATACAATAATGAGAACGGTAAATATAGACACCTTCAGTACACCTTGGCGAGTGCTCAAGTGACATAATTTTATTTTATATTCTTTGGTATTATGAAACTTTACATTTTCTCTTACACTGTTTTGGCCACTTTTTTTTGGGGGGGGGGTTGAGTTTTTTTGATTTGGTCTATTGTAGAAGAACAACTGAGTGTTAGATAGTTGTGATAAGTGAAATTAGCAGAGGACTGAATGAATGGAACCAGGGGAAGAGATGTGGATAAAAGGGAGTAAGAAGCAGACAAAACTAATGAATTCGGTGATTGTGTTGTTTGTGCATTGAGGAAAACTGCTGTTTCATGGATAATGACAATTAGTGAACATTGACAGAAGGATAGTTGGTGTAGTAATGGTTGGGAGGCTTTATGGAGAGGGTAAGAAGTGATGATGCAGGGGGGGGGGACACAAGATATGTGTGAAAAATGGAAAACTTGGTAAACTAATCGCTGAATGTAGTTCGGCAGACAATATAAATGCTATAAGAGGAAGCAATTGGTCTTAAAAATACTTGTGTGGAAAATATGAAATTAAAATAATTATGAAAAAGTAAATAAACACAAAGGAAGGAAAAACATGGATGAAAAAATGTGTAAGGAAAAATGCTGATGGTCAAGACAAACAAAGGTCAAGGAGAGGAAACTCAATTTAAAATGACATCCTAATACAGATGAAAAGGTTACAATGGGCTTGTTAAGCCCATCAGGGAAGAGTGTGTTGAGCCTATGGATCCACAATGTTTCTCTTTTACATAATTTGTTGAAACCTCTAGATTGAGGAACCTCTTTAAAAACCTACCCTAAGAAGACTGTAGTCCTTGGCGTGGTACATTAGGAAATGCCTTGATAAACTGTGTTCATTAAAGCCTAGTCTGATATTTGATTGGTGCTTACTGAGCCTCTGTTGGAAATTTCTGGTTTGTCCTACCGACATATTGCAAGTGGCATAGACACAGCAATACATACTGCATATAACATTGTGAGGAACAATCAAAAAGGACTTAATAGGCCAACTCATACATGTACTATATGACTTTATATTGGTGGTGTTTTGACCTATAAATAGACATCTTAAACATTTGGAAACACCGCATTTGAAACACGCTATTACTATTCTTAAAAGTTGAGGCTCTATAGAAGATGATTTTCAGAAGTTCCTTCTTGAGAAGGGGATCCAAGGTACCACTGCTTGGATAGAATGTTCTTAATCAGTTGACCACTGTACCTGTTAATTATTAAATGGTAAAAACTGGAGGTCTCACCGCTAGCTCCACCCAATTGTTTTTATTTTGCCGGCATCCGTCAGATGCTTTATTATGGGGCGGGAGTTCGTCGCACGTGGTCGGGTCGGCGTGTTTCTTTTTTTATTATTATCATTTTTTTTCTGTTCTTTAAAATATTTTTCTTTTCCTATTTTTTTAAATAATTGTTTTCCCATTTAAGTAACTATTTTTCTATTCTGCTCGCTATTCACTTACTGCCGTTCGGCCCCTATGAGAATGGGGGGAACGACAGCGAGTGAGCTGCCGGAGCTTTGGCCAAGCTGATCCAGATGTCAGCTGAGTCAAACTCCTTCTGCATTTCGGCTGACTGAAGGCAGCCGATGTAAGACTGATTTTAGCCGATGTATGGCTGGAATCAGCCGCACAAGGCTGAAGTGAATAGCCGAAAAGCGTCGGCTCACTTCACTTTGGGTCAGTTATTTACTCGGCTGCCTTCGGCAGCTTAGTGGATAACCCTCTGGCATTCCCATGGACAGTGTCAGCAACAACCACTACAATCACATAAATTGCATGTGTAATACATTTTTTCTACTTTTACATTATTGCTTGGCTTTAATATAGCAGCAGCAGTGCTTTTCTTTATTGCTTTTGTTTAGTGAATTGAAGGAGCTATGCAGTGTGGGCCACTGCTGACAACTGAACTGTTCTGCAGCCTCTGCAGTGTATCAGCTGTGGTAAAAGTAAGAGCCATACGTATCAGATGCATGAGGAAACGCATGACTGTGCGCCATTTGTAGCGCACATGACTGTGTGTGCACAATAGAGCTGGGTGAGAGCGGCACCTCAGTGATAATGGTCATCAGCAAATGTGTTGGGACAAGGACCATGAGCACTCAAGGTGAAAAGGCCTCGCTCTCCATGAACTGTGAACTCGTTCACAAGCATAGGTTGCAGGCCCTGCTCCTTCTACACCCTTCCTCCTGGTGAAGAGCCCAAGGTGGCTGCCTCTTCTGTCCAGCCCTGCCCATACTCCTCCTCCTCATCCCCTCAGAATTCCTACCAGACCTAAAGGGTCTGGTATGAATTTGTAGGGAAACCCCATGCATTTTTTTTTACATGGGGGTCCCACCTAACATTCCTACTAGACTTAACGGGTCTGGTATGGATTAAGAGGGGACCCCGCGCTGGTATTTTATTATTTTTCTTTTTGCACTGACATTTTCAATCTGTTCGCTACCTCTGAGGCTCCTCAGCTGCATTCAGCTGTTCAAACTCTGCTGTTCGGCCACTTTGAGAATAGGGGTAAACAGCAGGAACTGACGTGCCGAACGTTCGTCTCTGCCGATCCAGATGTTGCATTGGCTGAGGCGAATGGGTTCTTCCCTTTGCCTCGGCTGAATGTGCTGAGGCTGTTCAGCCGAACTGAAGGGAGGTGAAGTAAACTGAATGCAGCCAATGTAATAGCCGTACAGGGCTGCAGTGAATAGCCGAGCAGGCTTTGTCTCACTTCAGTTGGTTCTGTTATTCATTCGGCAGCTTAGTGAACAACCCCCTGTATCTCTTGTTATTAAGATGTACATATTTCCTATGATCTTCAGCTCCATCTAGTGGCCATAGGTATTATCTTGATTCACTCTATGTTCTTTATGAATGAATTTATTTTCACTAGTGCTCTTATTCTATTCACATAAAAAACATGCAATCTTTTCAATTATATGAGGAAGCAGAGTGTCACTAGCACACCAGACAAAGTGGTAAAATGATCGTCCTTTTATTGGTGCCTATTTTCACATTGAAGCAACGTTTTGGGGACACGCAATGGTCCCCTTCATCAGGTTCAGTATGACCATGAAGTGCTGGTGACACTCTGCTTCCCCATTGATTCCAGCGGTGGCATCCGCAGTCATTTCAGCACCCATCTCCATTATATGTTGCACAACTTGCAACATTTTTGTCACAAATAGGAGTTTTCTAATTTCAGGTGCAGATATTGCATTCAATAGGAAACTGCTTTGCGAGTCATTGTTTATTTGTCACACTGGTAAAAATGTCATATTCTGCACTATTGTATTGATAATTTATCTTTTCCTTTCTGGTGGTTGGTTCTGTGACTTTTAGGCAGCTGCCCTAGAGTGGCAGAGAGTTTTAATACTGAATCTATTACCTGCCCATTGCTGACCTGTATTGTTTTGACTAATCTCTTGCCTGCCAACGGCCACAACCTCTAACTCGACCTGACTACTCTCTTACCTGCCAACTGCCATGACCTCTGCCTGGACCTGAGTACACTCTTTCTTAGGCTGGGTTCCCACCTAGGCGGTTTTCCGCACTTTCGTACTCGCGGAAAACCGCTCAAGCAGGGAAATGCCATTACTTTCAATGTGTATGGTTCCCATCTGTGCGGTTTTCCGCGAGTATGAACGCGCGGGAAACCGCCCTACGCCCAAAGAAGTACATGTACTTCTTTGGGGCGTTTTGGTCGGGCGGTTCCATTGGGATACAGCCAAGTATCCCTCGGAAACGTGTGTTTGTGTTTGGTAAAAAAACCGCGCGGAAAACGCGCATATTCAATCCACCCAGGTGGGAACCCAGCCTAACAGTCTTCATGGGGCCACCCCTTGGAAGGGTGATCCTGAGGGCCATGAACTGGTGGCAGTTTGCAGCAGAGGCAACTGGAACCACTAGGGTTCCCAGCCTATCTCCACCATTAGGAGCTCTGGTAATGATCAACTGACACTTAGGCTCCATGCGTCCAGTGAGCTTGCGTCACTTGCCAGGGGGCACCGTCACATGCTCACCCAATGTATAACATTCAAAATACTAACAACATACAAAGCCATCCACAACTCTGCCCCAGGCTACATCACCAAACTCATCTCCAAATATCGCCCCACCCACCCTCTCTGCTCCTCCCAAGACTTCCTGCTCTCTAGCTCCCTAATGTAGGTGATGCTAGCAGAGGGATATTGCCTTGGGTACCAAAGTTTGTGTATTTTTTTTAAAAAAATGACTTTATATACTGGTAAAATCAAACCTTTTGTTGAATGGAAAGTAATTTGAAAATCAAAATCTTAATTATTGCACATTTTGAAATATTTTGCTTTAACAGGACAGGTACATTTTTGTTAACTCAATAACATGTAACAGACATGCCCTATATATACTGTATAGCAGTAATGATCTTGAACAAAGGTCATTAACAAGAACAATTTTGATTGAATGGAACTGGTGAACATTAGGAAAAAATTATAACAATAGGTTATTGATTTAATACAAAAGAGTTACAAAGCTAATAGTCCTTTGTTATACAGGGAATAACTAAATTACCTTTAACTGTAATATTCATCAAGAGAACTATAACGGGATATAGATGAATTTTTGAACTTTAACTGTCATAGTTTATCATAACCTAATGCATATGTACGCACATGTGGTACAGGAGCATGCATGATTGCAGAAGCATGCACACATTCATGTGCAGTGTACACTAGCTGTGATTAGGCTGCTTTTACCAAACACAGGCACTGTGCATTTTCTGGAAGAAGAAACATTGTATCTCGGCTGGTGGTCACTGTTATCTCTGCTCTTTACTATGAAGGAGCCGAGAGAAAAGGATTGCTACATTGTATTATAGCAGTTTGCAGAAAATAGTTTATGACAAGCTGATGACCAAGAAAAAAGAAACCAGAGCAGAATATATAATGATACTTCACAGAGTGCGAGCTGATGAGGAGGCACAACACATCCCATAGTAATAGAAATGATATCAATGATTTTCAGGGATCAGCTGTTTTGGCCAGCGAGTAGAATTGCCAGTGGTGTTGTAAATAGGGAAAATAAAAGCTGGTACCATAGCTTCAGATATTGATTACTCTCGGAATCAGGAAAACAAAGAGACAGCAATCAAGGGTTTATATAATAGATGTACAGTATGTTAGCTCAAAACAGCACCATCTATTGGCTTTACACTGAGCCATCCTAAGTAAGGTCATTCTTGGTAGGATTCTGGATAAAGAAACTCCCTTTACCCTTCATCCAATGTAAGTTTAGTACACTGGCAATTCCTCCATGGATTTAAAGCACAAAACTATCAGATGATACCATACTGAGTAATAACTCTAGTACAGGCCAAGCCTGCATGGAAATCTAACCTTCACTACATCTTCAGGTGTCCACATACGTGGCCAATTTCTCAAACAGTGTTAAAATTATTTGATTAAAATTATTCATTTTAAATACATTTTAAATTAATTAAAATGTATTCAGGGACTGCAGTGCATATACAAATATACCACCTGTCTCATTAGGTTTAGTTTTTATTGGTGAGAGTGTAGAAACTATATCAACAAAATGTATCTATTATAGGTTATATCATCCACCACTGCTATAATCAGATTTTCATATACAGGAACAGGAAAGAAAGCACTGTGCAATGTTATTCTAGGCCAGAACTATGGTGCCATAGACAATGGTCACAGTCTCTGTGTTATTCACATTCTCTACACCTTAACCTAAAGATCTTGCCCAGATAGGCAAGTACTGTACCTCTCTATGTATACCCTGTGTTTTTCTTTATGAGAAAATGTGGAAACATTCAGTTTCAGTGATGAAAAGCTAGTAGATTTGAAAGTGTATTTACACTTTTTTGCAGTCAAATTTGAGAAAACACCTCTATATGTTTTTTATGTCTTCCCATTCACACAGCACTCAGAAGAGGCTGAGTTACCCATCATTAACATACAATGCAGATTCTAGATGCTTCTAGACAGTGTTTGTTAGGACTGACAGTGTTCAATAATGAGAGCTGCCAGCACAGTACAGACAGGGTTAATTAAGGTACAAGAAATATTGTGGGGTACAAAAAAACATTGTAGGGATTTCCCATAGAATTACAGAATCAAAGTCTGTATAAGCAAGCAAACCACAAGGCACAGGTCAGGTCACAGAGGGATATCTGAAGATGATTCAGCAGAGTTCTGGAGTATGGCAGGTCCTTAAATAAGATGTTAGGTGCCAATGCTTGTACCTGGTGCACACACATACCCATCCACCCACAACAGCATGCATACAAACATGAATGCTGCTATGCAAAGGTGAGCTCCCAATGGCCCATCCAAGTGCAGAGCAACACATTGAAACACGCGCATATGCTGATGCCCATTTCATCTAGCTCACAAGAATTCCCTGATAGTAAGTGTTGAGGTGACATTATCAGGTCTATTCACAAAAAGGTGACGAATTTGGAGAAGGCAGGAGAAGTGAACAATCTAAGACAACATAGCTGATCTGGAAAAATTCTCCAATTCAGCTCACTTTCCAGTTCAGCTATGCTGTCCTAGATCAGGACAACATAGCACACAACATGTGTTGTTTAGCATGCAACCTTGGCTCTCCAGCTGTGCTGAAACTACAAATCCCATCATGCTTCTTCCTCTGGGAGACATGCCTGTGGCTTGCAATGCCTTATGGGATTTGTAGTTTCAGCACAGCTGGAGAGCCAAGGTTGCCTACCCCTGTCCTAGATTGTTCACTTCTCCTGTCTTCTCCAAACTCTTCACCCTTTTATGAATAACCCTGTTAGTGTCTGCTCATAGCTGTAGGAACTGCTCACTCCTGATGGAGGTACCTCCAATCATGAATTCAGCGCTGACCTCCCTAGAATTTCCTGGCTGACACTCTCTTGTGAATTGACCTATAAGTGTTAAGTGTTAGGCTAGAGGTTAAGTGTTAAGACTTAAATGTATATTAAGCCAAATGTTTATTTTATTACCAGTGTAAATAAAAAGTCCTAAAGGTCTGATGATCAATTCTTTGGTGTGCAGCCACTCCATAAAGATGCCTAATATGCGTGCACAGTACTTGGGTGCCCCCTAGCGCCACATCTTTAGAAGCGCAGGATTATCGGACCTTAATAGGAAGCCTTTCCCCCTTGAAGGCGTGCTAAGGACTTACAGTCTTACAGTCTCTTACCATGCCCACGATCCCCGCTGTGTCGTCCGTCTTCCTAGTTCCGTCCCTTGCGAGCGTCCGCGTCACAGGGGGGCGGAACCGGCGGGAATTTTAAAAGTAAAAAAATAAATATAGAACAAAAAACGAAAAAATTAAAATAAACAAAATAATCAGACCGCCAGGGAGGCTAATCTGTAATCTGTTAGCCCGCTGAATGTGCGGTAATACTGTATGTACGGTAGCTTTGGCTACATACAGTATACCGCGACTGCCTATGATAAGTGAACTGATCACAAATACCTATTGAGGTGAGTACTAGATGTTGGTATGGAGTCTTTCCTGTTCTCATTTCCAACGCTTGTTATCCTGTCCATAAGCTTCCTCAGTAATTGTCTAGTTCTTGTTCCTGTACTTTTGGTTCCTTGTTTGTTTCACTCCTGGCTCTTGCCTGTTCTCGGTTTGTATAGACCCTGTTACCTTCCTTTTCCTGATACCTTTGATGCTGCTTTTACCACCTCTGACCTGTTGGACTCCCTGGATTTGATCACTTGCTTGACCTGACCTTTTTAGCATGCCTCCTGCCCTAATCTTAGTTTTGTTATTGACTATGTCAATGCTCAACCCAATGGCTACAAAGCACAGGTGCAAAAACATATCATTAAATGAAGAATATTAAAGTCAGCACACCTAGACAGGTTTTAAATGATTGTATTTGCAAAGTCTCAAGTGATATAGGCACTTCATATATGTGCCATTGATCAAACCAGCAATCCTATTATGCATAAGGGGACTGTAGTCAGCTATAAAGCCATCAAACAGTACATGATCGATGGGAAATCAGGAATTCAAATATATATATAT